AATTACAAATATTTGTATAATATACAGTGGGTACGGAAAGTATTCAGACCCCTTAAATGTTTCACTCTTTGTTATATTGCAGCCATTTGCTAAAATCATTTAAGTTAATTTTTTTCCTCATTAATGTACACACAGCACCCCATATTGACAGAAAAACACAGAATTGTTGACATTTTTGCAGATTTATTAAAAAAGAAAAACTGAAATATCACATGGTCCTAAGTATTCAGCAAAAATAATATATATATACTGTATATAAATCATATATGATATATGTAAAATTTAATCAAACAAAATTGATTAAATAATAATAATAATAATAAAATGAAGGTTATTATCCTATAAGTTTATGCATAATACTGAAAAAAAGAAAAGAATTTCATTTAATTTTGACTCAACTTCTTTAAATTCAAATTACAATTCTGCACCCAGTTTGCTACCTCAATTCAAATTCAGGAATTGAACTGGAATTTTGAAGTCATTCATAATTCAGTTCTGAATGTCACAGAAGCCTGAAAACTGAGCACAGAGCGAGACGGATCCATGGATCCCTTCAGCAGAAGGGCGTCACACAGGCAGACGTTAAGACAAGCATTGCACATAGCACTCTGAACAGAGAAGAAAGGGAAGCAGAGGAGGATGAGGGAATGAGGGAAAACGAGGGGGAAGGCAGACGTGTATTATAGAAGCATGCTCTACAAAGAGCCTCCTAACAAACACACATAACAGAAACCGGCGAGGGCTTTCCAACTTACAACAGCGACCCAGATACAACCCTTCCTCACAGCGAGGTGCAAAGGTTCATGCCAATTATAATCACACTACCCTGACTCTTCAATCTACTCGTCTAATTGGATTCATTACGCACATCTCACTAGGCCCTCCAAAGTTCAATGGGTGCTTAACTTGTTATTGTTTCCTTTTTTTTTGAAAAAAAAAAAAAATCAAAGTTTATGCTGTTTTCAGCAAGAGATGCTAATCAAATAAATATGCAAATGATAAATATTAATCAGAGTGCGTTGTCACCTGGGGCGTTGATTCCCAGGCACCTCTTTTCATGGAGCTCTTGCTCAATGACATTGTCAGTAAGTCTGAGCCCATTGTTAGTCTTTATGAGTTACTGCCATGGGAACAGAGAGACAGACAGGCAGAGACAGAAAGCTGGTATATTCTGAGGGTCTGTTCACTTTACACAAGCTATGAAACATCCTCTGGACAATAATGACAGCTGTGTATTTAGGTCAGCTTCATTTGCAGGATCCATCTTGCTCAGCTTAGAGAAACGGGCTGCTTTCTTTCCTTATCATTAGGAGTCCATTACGGCTGGCACACCCACCGAGTCATGGAGTTCTGAAATTACATTGGATGGAGCTGAGCCATGATAATGCACAAAGATCATCATTCAAGGTCTCATAGTCTTCAGTCAGCGCAGACGCTTTATTTAATTTGATGTAAATGAAAATGAGGCTGTGAAGGACGGAAATAGCCCGTTAAATATATTGTGTTGGCGTATAGAGTTCGTTCAACCATTGAAACCTGGAAAACAGATTCCCGGTGGACATAACACAAGTGTATATATATACATACACATATATATATATACACTACTGTATAGTACCACGGTCATCACAGTACCATACTAAATAGACTGTATTTAAATATGGATATAAATATGAATGTTATGGTATTACCATGTGATACCATAACTATACCATCTGCAAAAGAACAACTATGATTTGACTAAAAACATTGCTGTAAAATAAATTAAAAATGTTTAATGCAAAAAGTTTTTTTTTTTTTTAAATAATTATGGTTACAATGAATGTAAAGAATTGTGTTGCATGAAAAATGCCATATGGAGACTTCCAGCCGTCTAACAACATGCTCTTCATGAACTTGATGACAAAATAAAAATCATTCATCACAACACTGCTCAATTTTACATCGGCAACAAAAACCTTGCAAACTAAATATGAATATTCTATAATATTTAATTGCCCAACCCTATCTTTTGTCACTCCTAAAATGACTTTGACACGGGTGTTCTTAGACTCATCTGCTGCCTCGCACATCCAAACAACAGACCGAAAAACCCACGCTGACATTAATAGGACCTGAACTCTCTATAAAACACCATATTTTAAAGCTCCATCAACAGAATGCAGGTAGACTTTCAGATGAGGAACTACAGTCTTGTCTTCTGTATCTTCAATCCTTTGTTCTCAATCTTTCTACTTTCACAGTGTTTTCTGTTTTCCTTAGGAGCTGCAGTCTCTTGTTGACCTTTCTCAGTACTACACATTTCTTTGATTTTAGAGCGAAACGTCTCTTGACGAGAGCTGCTGACACAGTGACCCAGCTCTGCTTGTCTCCAAAGACAACGGGAAGCAGATGAAACCATGTCAGACACTGGAAAAAAATACTGACATGCTCAACGTTTGAAATGACTCTTGTACACACACAGCTTCTCTGCTATTGATTAGCGTGTGACAAGAGGTCCATTTAGAGGTTTTCCACTGCGGGAAAGGTGAGCTTTGTCACGCTTGAGTGTCTTCTAAAGGACTGAAACACACTTTAGTAAAACATAGACTTCACTTGGGCCCTTGTCAGTATGAAGGCGGTCTATAATACCCGCAGGAAGCTGCTGTAGCTGTTAGCATTCCTATTGACAACATCTAATGGGAACATGCTAAAAAGCAAAACCTGAAAATGTCTGGATGATATAACCGAAAAAGAGAGAGAGAAGACAAAGAATGTGACAAAAGCAAAACAAGACGACCAAGCAAAGCAACCTTTTTCTGAATTTACACATCAAACAGGTGTCAGGTGTCCAAAGAACAAGTCTTTCACTCATCAATGCTCCGTATCTTCCTCGGCATGAAAGGCAGTCAGCCTGGCTCAGGTCCGCCACGGAGCTTTTGATGTTTAATTAATGTTCTGTTTGCGGAATATGCAAATATAAATAAATGTATTAAAAAAACATTCTGTAACTTGCCACCAGCGAAAGCCTGAAAGGACCAAAACATTTACTTTGTCAGAAATAATAAAATAAATCCAAAGACACGAGCACTACTCCTCTTTGTTAATTTATGCATCTTTTCGCTGAAGACTGGAAAACAATCCTAATGAGTCATAGAGGCTGATAGTGAGAAGAGAATAAAGAAGAGAGAGGGAGGGGGAAAAAAAGGAAAGATTCATCCAGCACTATAGTTGCCACATATGTGCTGCCAGGGAGTAGGACACACATTGCATTCAGAATAAATAAGAGGGATATTTCTGTACCGTTAAAATGCTCTCAAAACCTGAACCTTGCCAAAACAGCCCTGGATACACATCCCATAATTAACACACTGTCCAGGTCCAGCTTTTTTTCCTTTCAAGCCTTTTTTAATAACTGCTGCAATCATTTTGAGGTGTTTAATGCATTTTAGTATAAAGTGGAGAGTGGCGCACGAAACTACCTCTGAATGACTGTACTTGCATAGAATTTATTTCTTGATTGTTAACGCAGAACATTTGGTAGATATGGTGTGCACTGCAAAAAAAATCATTCAATATTTTTGTCTTGTTTGCAAGCAAAAAAAAGTAAATATTCATAAACAACTTTGAGAAATTATATATTTATTTTTCTAAGATAATTAAGATATCCTGTAAAAATGAGACGATGTAGATTTTCAACTATTACTAACCAAAAAGCATCAAATACACTCTTGTGTTGTTAAACAAGTACAATTTAACCATAAAAAGCAATGTCTGACTCTTTTTTAAATATTTTGAATCTCATGGATATTCAGCTCCTATGGCCTTATGGGATGTCCAAATGTCCAATGGTAGCACACTTTGTGGATGCAGTGGGTCATGCAGGTCGCCTGCATATTCGGGCATCTTACGCTTTACTACGCTGCTTCTTATATACTGTATAGGAGGGAAGTACACACTAGAACTCAAGGGAGAATGCCAAAGGGATGTGTCACACAAGTGTGCAAACGTTTCAAGCAATGCAAGCCCATAAAGTCTTCAATCTTCACTGAGCGACTTATAAATATATTTAGTACTTTTTTATTGTCATTTTTGAATGGCAGCATATAGTTTAATGTCAGACATTTGACAGTAACCATCTTGCCCTCGAGCAATAGTTTTCTGCTGCCAGAGTGATGCCAGGACACTTTAAATATGGGAATGCTCACTGCCACATTTTGACAGAGTTTTTACGTCTGCGTACTTGCATAGATTCTGTTTCTATCCTTAAGCGTAACAGAGAAACTAACATAGCTCCTATCAAGGGGGCTACATGCATGCATCCATGCAAACCGGTTGCAGGGCAACAACAGGGACAGAACGATTGGGAAGCACTCTAAAAAAAGAAGAGCTCCATGACCTCACTTCCCTTCCAAATAGTGCCATGAGGGCTGGAGCTGCAGGGAGGGCCACTTCAACCATCCTCCATCACGCAAACAAACACAAGAGACAGAGACAAAGATGTACAGGTAGAAAAGAAGGACATCAAACCAGCCCTTTGAGGGCCCCCTGAAGGAGACCCACAGGTCAGAATTCCAATAAGAAAGGTCAGAGGTTGAACTCTTCCCCGCTCGCAACGAATGGTGTGTCCGGCGGCGGCCCTGAGCAGACGTCACACGGACAAAGACAGACAGAGAGACACACTGGAACAGAAAAAACAGTTTAAAGACAGCCAAAAAAGGACATAAAAGGACAAAGGGGGAAATGACAAGACATTTGAACATGGAAGGACTGGCGTGGACGACTGGCACTGGAGGGGTGAGGACATGAATGAAACATGAAGTCAGCGTTTCATGTGTCATCAGAGCTGATGGCAGAATGAGAACGGCGTGGAAATGAAACAGAATGAGCACCTTCCACAAGAGTTTCCCGCAGGACACAACCAAACACAAGCAGCCATACAATGCTAATTAAACATCTATTTCGCTAACATAAAATTACAAGAACACACAGAAAAACATTGCCCAATTCTCCACACTCACCACAGGGCCCTTGTTGCTTGATGGGGATGTCTGTTTCGATCCGGCACTCTTCGAGTTTCCTCTCGCAGTCGTTGGGGTATGTCTTTCCGTCCTTTCCGCACAGGGGCTTGTACGTGCCGTCACATTGTATGGGGTCGCAGGAACACTGAAACTCTCCGTTTTCCAGCAAACACATGGCGTTGAACTTACAACCATTCGGGCAGCCCCCTGGAGACCGGAGACACACGTATACATGCGTCAACAATGTGAAGAACGGCAGTAACCGTCCTGGTGCTAATCAACACTGACTGGAGGCATCTCTCTTTCTCTCTCGCTCAATCAGACATCGGATATTGACTCACTTGGGGGTTTTGAATTAATTACCGTGCCTGATTATTTAATCAATTATCTAATTCCATTCAGATTGATTTGGGGTGTTTTTTCCCCCACTCAGAGTTGTGTTAAGCTGTCACAGACAGGCAGTGGCGGTGTGTAATTACAGCAGCCTTTCATCTGTTTGAGAAAATTAAGAGACCTATTATGTTATTGTACAATCTGAGCTTGATTTATGTTTGATTGCATTATCCAACCTATCTTTAAGGATGTGACATACATGTTGATGAAATTGGACTCACAGGAAGCTATAGGAATGGAAGTGGAATTTCGTGAACTACATGAAACAGCTATCACAACCCTATTACTTCCACAGTGTGACGTATTTGTGAGTAAAAAGAGTACTTAATGAGCTCAAATCTAGGGCAAGACTTGATTTAATCCATCGGGAATCGTTTGGATTGCGAAAACTGGGAGTTCCACATAAGATCGGACCTATGAGAGATTGCTGAGGAGAATTTCACTCCTTAAACACTGCTGGTGTTGTGAAATATCTATAACCCTGCTCTGTGACACTCAGATCAGATCAAACAAGTAGCAAGTTATCACAATATTTTGTTCTAACTAATCAAGAAAGGCCTTTCTTAGCTAGTTAGCATTGTGCTATGCTAGCAGGCTAAGCTGTAGCTAGTAAACAACATCTTACCAAAGCTAAAAATGTAAGGTGACCAGATTTCTGAATAGAAATAGGACAATTAAACATCCCACTTTTTTGTGCCTTCATTTATCCTTTAGTTAGCAAACTAACAGCTTAGTGTTCTAGCATAGCATAGTGCTAACCTGCACTAAAAGGCTCTTTTGATTAACAATAACATCCTCCATCTGGAAATACTGTGAAAACTGGGTGCTTCAAACAAGAACAGACCTAAAAGAGAGTTTTCAGTTTATTATAGAGCACTCTCTCTTGAAAAGCTGCTGGTGTAAATATCAATCCAACCCACATAATCATATCCCCTCTGGAAGTCTTTGTACTGTCTGGTCAAAAATGTAGCATATTATCACAATATCTTGTTCTAACTAATGAAAATATAGCCTTTGTTTAGCCAGTTAGCTCTGTGTTAAGATAGCAGGCTATGCTAAAGAAAATATTAGAAAAGTTAAAAATGGTGACTACAGTATCCCTTTGTTTGTTTTCATTTAAACTTCAGTTAGTAGCTAAACCTACTAGCACATTATATTACTAACTGTTTAAGAAAGACTCTTTTGATTATCAATAACATGATACATGTTTGATCAGGATCGGAGGTATCTTGAACAACTATGGCATCTACTTTGAGGAGGTTTTGAGATATGGAAAGAGAAAATTATGGTATAATAGCAATTAACATGTATTACATTAACACTAATGATGTGAGTGATACATTTTGATTCACATATTGACTGAGCAGATCCCAAACACGTTAACATGCTAGACATGTATCTAACAAAGACATTCATCAGAGACAAATACTATTGTTTCTCGAGTTACACCGGCACAGAAACAGTTGCTCTCTACTGGGACAACAGTGGCCCACAAATAACACTGCTATCGCTCACGGCACAAACACAGTTCAGACACAGGCACACACACATACACACTAAGCCACTGTTCGCGCACTATCACAGCTGAACACACACTCTCTCTGCGCTTTGCCACAGGGCTTCAGAGCGAAGCAGGGACGATCTTTTCATCACCTGTGAAGATACAGTCTTGCCACAATACACCTGCCAGAGCCCGACAGGCAAATTGGATTTGTGGAGATTGGTATCGTGTAGGCATGACAGTACTGCTAACCTGACTTAATTTGTCCAGAACCTCCTCACCGCAGCCATGACAAAATAAATCAAATGCGGCCGTAGGGCTCCTTTATCAGACACGAGCATGAGCTCCTGGGAGTCTGTGACATCTCTGCTTTAGGAGGAACTCACTTTTCTCCTTGCAGCTGCCTGAAGAGACCTTCTTGAGCTCCAGGTTGTTCTGCAGGGCCGTCCGCTCCATCTGACACTCGCTATAGTAAGTGTGGCCGTCGCTGGCGCAGATGGGTGTACTGTCGGGCGGGCAGGAATCGGCTGGGGCGAAGGTAAACTGCTTGTAGGTCTTTGGGTTCACCCGACAGGCCACACTCAAGCTGTTCAGAGTGTCACTGCAAGGATCTGTGGACAAGAGTGGAAAAAATGATGGTAATTCATGACTTTCATTGTATTTTGTTGATCTAATGTTGATAATCTGAATTTAAATATTGCCAAAACGTTACCAAATACTACCAAAGCTTTCTTTGTGTTTTCATTTAGGCATCAGTTACAATACTAACAGCTTTCATTAGCGTAGCATTGTTCTTTTGATTAGCTATGCCATACTATGGAATGGGGACACAATACCAGCATCCATTCTGTTGCCTCACGGTTACATTTATTGGGCCTTTTTGTCACTATTTTTAGTAAAGACTTTTTTTTGGTGTTTTTGCCTTTATTGTTATAGGACAGTGTAAATGAGACAGGAGGCAAATTGGGAAAGAGGGGGGGAGGGATCGGGAAAGGTCCTCGAGACGGTATTCGAACTTGGGATGCTCGTAGCAAGGCAATCTGTGCAGACTCACTATTATTTTTAACAGAAAATGTAAAACCGTAATGTTATGAAGCTAGACTGACATGGAAGAGAAGAACTGTTGAATAAAGTTTATATTTTTGTTTTCTTTGTGCACAAAAAGTATTCTTGTAGCTTCATAACATTACGGTTGAACCACTGATGTCACATGGACTACTTTAACTATGTCCTTACTATGTCTTTAGTTGCATTGCTGTCTATGCAGGGTCAGAAAGCTCTCAGATTTGATCAAAAATATCTTAATTTGTGTTCTGAAGATGAATGAAGGTCTTACGTGTTTGGAACGACATGAGGGTGAGTAATTAATGACAGAATTTTCATTTTTGGGTGAACTACCCCTTTAATCAAATAAATGCAACCTCTTTTCAAAAACATTAAATACATAAATCTTACCATCCCCAAACATTTGAACTGCAGCACATGTACATTTTTCCTGAAGATCTTGATAAACTTTTTTGAAAAACTTTATTGGACAGTTGGTTAAGGACAGCGCACCTCCAGGACCAGTTTCTGGTATCTGAGCACATGCCCTATCCACTACTCTACAGCAACAATGTCATTTTTTTACTAGAATTTTCTTCTTTTTCAAAGCATCTTCTAGGCACTATTGATGGAGCTGTTGTCAGTGGCGTGTCATTTATTGAGAAGAAATACTGAAAAGTGAAAAGATAAGGGTGACAGCTGACGGGACAGGAGTGATGAGTATGTGGGAGCTGATGGGTCTTTGTGGCTGCAGGGGGCTCCAGGCCCTGGCCCTGTATGGAAAGATCATAATTGTAATAGAAATGCCATGATGGTTATTGAAATAAGTGTGACAGTTTTGCCAGCCTCCACACTTTTCAGAAATAAGATGGCACAAAGGACTTATCAGCCGTTGTCGTGCTAAGACAATGCAGAGCCGCGAGCGAGTAGCACAATCGCGGGAGAGAAAGAAGCACGGAGACAGAGAGGAAAAAAGACAAGAGAGACAGAGACAGAAAGGACAGAGGAAATTAGACAAGAAAGACAAAACACGTAAACAAAACAAAGAATGAGAGGAGAGGAAGAACACATGCAAATAAAGAAAACAAGAAAATAAGAAGAAAATAAGCGGGAAATGAAGACAAAGCCACAGAGATAGAGAGACATCATGAAAGCAAATAACACACAGGTGGACACATGCACACTAAGGATGTATAAAACGACATATTTTCAGAATCAATTAGCCAGTGGCTTTTTCCTGAATGACTAGTCAACTAATTAGGCTAGAAATTAACTAGTCAGCTACCAACCCACCCTAAATGCACACATATCAAATTCAATACTTCCAGCAATAAATAAATAAATAGATTCTTAGTCCGTATTTTTGTCTTGTTTTACAAGAAAAAAATATCTAAGCATCCTTACAACAAAATTCAATTACTTGAGAAGCCAAAATGATCAGATTAAGAAAATTATTATTTGCAGTGACAGATCGTACAACATGGCATTTAGAACATTTATAGAGATTTTGGAGGTCATATTTCTTATTGTCTTGTTTCAAATGTAAATATGCCAAAGTTAAGTCAACGCATCTTAAATGCACACAAATCAAACTCAATAGTTCTAAGGCTCTGAATTAAAAACAATTATACAAGCATTAAGCATAAAAGCCCAGGGAGAGAGGCGGGCCGACAGAAAGTGTTGCTGCCAGGTCAGGGACTGGTGTATACTAACACAATAATAGGACGGCTCTCAAAGGAGGGGAGTATGGAGCTCGACCAAAAGGGTCCAGCACAATGCGGGCAGTGCCTCCAACAACATCTCGCCACGCAAGCCAGCCATTACCACTGGAGAAAACATTAGCTCCCATTAAGAGAGGCCGGCTGGAGCCAGCATTCAGTGTATCGCTGCCTAACAGTGCCATGCAGGGGTGGCTGTAATTAGCCAGGCACACTGAACCCCGCTCCAGCAGGGAGTGTGTATGAGGCCGTTCCATTAGTCCAGACCCTGTATCTGTGTGCCTGACAGTTGCTGGCCAAGACCTTAATGCATGTGTTGGAGGAACAGTAGCTGTAGCCGCGGTTTACGGGAATGAATGTGTATACAGAGCTGGCCAAAAATGTGTCTTTCTAAGTGTGCTTTGAAATAACAGTGCCCCATGTCCTGCTGTACCATTGATTGTGGGTTTGTTTTTGATTCCCTCAGATCGCTTCTTTGATAATTCACACCGCGTGATTGTCACTCGCGTGAACGAGCACCGATTTGCCTCCGATTTCGGGCATTTGTCGGCGATTTTGCAAAACTGTCGGCAAGTGAAAAATCGGGCTAAAATTGTGCAGTGTGAACTTGGCATTAGTCTTCCTTTGACCTAGTTTTTCTGAGTTGCCCTGATTAGTTAATTTGGTTCCACCTGTGTTTATTAATTATCTCATTTGTCTGTTAGTACTTAAGTCCTGTGTTCTCCCCTGGTTCTTTGTCTGCTATTTGTTGTTGTTATGTCGATGTGTGCTACCCTTTACTCTTGGATTATTTCTGTGGATTTCTCATTAAAGACTTTATTTGGATTTTTCCCACGTTGTGCGCTTTTAATAGCACCCTACCGTAACAGAATAGCAGACCCTCAAAGTGAGTAATTCTAGCTGCGTTTTTCTTTCTTTTTTGTTTTGTTTCTCCCCTCTCCCGGAATGGATATCCCAGCCATTCAACTCCTGTGCCTGGAGCAACAGGACCGTTCGCTGGAGGACCATACCAGGGACTTTGTAGATCTGGTGTGCCTTACACACTTCCTTGACCACTCGCTCAGCGTATTCTATCACACCAGCCTTAGCGAGCGGTGTAAGACATGCCTGCCAGCGAACGGTCCCAAGGAGGATTTCGCCGCTTTTGTGGAGTGGGTATTGGAGATAAATGGACTGTAGATAAAAGACCTCTCCAGACCCACTCACGAATCAGAGACCAGTCAGTTGTCATCCTGCTGCACGGAGCTATTGCCTGAGCCCGCCGCGACACGAGAGCCAGTGTGCAAAGTCATGACTGGGCTGATCATCGCCCCGGAGCATGAGCCTCAAGCATCGTCTGACCAAGTGCGTGAGCCGGCAACATCATCCGTTTCCGAGGGAGTTTTGGTGGAGATCGAGGGCTTGGAGGGAAGCCCTGCCCACACTCCCCGACTGAGGGTGAGCTGCATCTGGTTTCTGGAAAATATTTAGGGGAACTAATGGACATTTTCCAAATGGACTTAATAGACTGGTTTGGGGAGGTAATACCCAGTTCTCCAGTGTCTCCGCTGGTTCTGCCCAGCCCTGCGTCTCCGCTGGTTCCGCCCAGCTCCTGTTCTCCTGTGTTCCCTCCCAGTCTCCCTCTCCCGCCTCCTCTTATACCAGTCAGTTCCTCAGCCCCATCTCCGCTGGTGCCTGTCAGTCCCTCAGCTCACCCTCAGTCAGCGCCATCTGGGCACTCTGATCCACCTCGGGACTTCCAGTCTCCAGCTTCACCTTGGCATGAGGATCCCCTGTCATCCGCCCCCAGCCTCCGAGTCCTGGACTCCACCTCGATCCTTCGACCCATCGGCTACGCCTTGGCTCCTAGCTCCCTCGTCTCCACTGTGGCCCGTAATCCCACCAGCTCCACCGGGCTCCCTCGTCCCTCAGGATCCGCCTTGGTCAGTTGTCGACCATCCGCCGCCTCGGGACTCCACTCCTCTGGCTTTGCCTCGTCACTCCGTGCCTGTGGCTCTGTCAGGCTCCTCCTTCCCTCCGGCTTCGCCTCCATTCTCAATTGCTCCGCTGCGGTCTTCCAGAGCCCCGCCTCGGTTGCCTGGGCCTTCAGCTCCGCCGTGGCCCTCCAGATCCTCTGTGTCGCCCTGGCTCTCCGTCTGCTCGGCTCCATCCTGGGCTCCTCTTCTACCAGCTCAGTCTCCGTCAGTCCGCCCCCTGGTGTTGTCGGCCCTATCTCCACCATGGCTCCTCCTGCCGTTGACTCCACCGTGGGCCGCTATCCTGGCTGGCCTCTGGAGCTCCATCTGGCTCCGGGCTCCTACCTCCATCCACTCCGCCCTGGCCTCATGAACTATGCCCCTTTCCCATTGCCTGCCCCTCACCTGCCCCATGCCCACCTCCTGAACCCCCACTCTCCCTCCTCTGTTGGACTGCTTTTGTCGGCGCGAGGACACGCTGTTCTGGGAGGGGGCGAACTGTTATGGACTTTTGTTTGTGTTCCTGTTCTCTTGCCTTAGTCTTCCTTTGACCTAGTTTTCCTGAGTTGCCCTGATTAGTTAATTTGGTTCCACATGTGTTTATTAATTATCTCATTTGTCTGTTAGTACTTAAGTCCTGTGTTCTCCCCTGGTCCTTTGTCTGGATTGTCTATTTGTTATGTCAATGTGTGCTACCCTTTACTCTTGGATTATTTCTGTGGATTTCTCATTAAAGACTTTATTTGGATTTCTCCCGCGTCGTGCGCTTTTAATAGCACCCTACCGTAACACTAAGGTTGTTTAGATGTTTTCTTGGAAAACAAGACAAAAAAAAATAAAGATTTTTGTTTCTAAAGTAAAAAAAAATTTTCACCCTAGGTTTACAATTTAATTTTAATTTTTATTCATAAATAAAATAAAGATTTTTTTGGTTCACAAGTAAATGTATCTTTCATGCATGTTTTGACATTTTCTTTGAAAAACAAACAAGACTGTTTGTTACTTGAGTAAACTGGTCTTATTTTAAGGATATTTAAATATGTTTTCCTGAAAACAAGACATATAATAATTATTTAAATAATTTTAATTATTGCTTCTCAGGTATTCTTTTTTTTATTTTAGGATGTTTAAATGTTTTGCTGGGGGGGGGGGGGGACCACCAAGGAGAGACACCATCCTTTCATCATTTTAAAAGCATCTTTATAAATGTTTTCTAGGAAGACAGACATAAAATAATGTTTATTTTTGCTTGAAGTAAATTGATCCTCTTTTAAGATATTTTCTTGCAAAACAAGACCAAACAAAAACAGTGATTCTGTTTCTCAAATAAATGTTAAAATGTTTTAAGAATGTTTAACTATTTTTCCTGGAAAACATGGCAAAAATACAGATTAAGAAGCTGATTATGCAGTGAAACATGACTTAACTTTTGTTCTATATAGACAGTTTAGAGGTCAGATTTCTTTTTCTGTCTTATTTAATTACATTTTTCTTATTTTCAATGGAGTGTCCCTCAGTGATAAAAATACCATTTGTATGAGCTGACTGAATCAGAGTCAGTAACCGCAAGGATGGTGTCTCTAAGTTAGATTTAGAGTTGCTGTCTGTCCTCCTTGGTGCTTTGCACTCTCGAGGGGGTTAAAATGAAAGACAGAGAAGCATACTCTACACGTCCTCTGGGACCCGAGGCATTCATCCAGCCCTGCCGCCCAGAGAGCCATCATTTACAAGAGGTGACTTCCCTCTGAGTCTGCCTGCCTCGCTCTGCCGCAGGAAACACCACAATGTCACACACCCCAGACAAGACACAAGACTTGCTTTCAGAAAGTTTATAAAAAATACAGCCAAAATCATCTTCTGAACTGATATTTTTGTCTTGTGTCTTAGTAAAAAAAATATCACAACATTCATAAAACACTTGAGAAGCAAAACTGCGCAGGATAACGAAACTTGTTTTCAGAGAAAATATTTTCAATTACATTTATGTTTCTAGCCCCGTGGGCAAAAACCTCTCCAACTTTTGTTAGATTTGTGCACTGGAACAATTCCAAAGCCAATGAAGTAAGAAAAATATACTTAATATTAAGACAAACTCTCTGAAAACAAGTCTCACTATTTTATGCATTTTTGCTCCAAGTAATTTGATCTTTTTAACTTAAAAACAAGACAAAAATACAGATTAAGAAAATGATTCTTTTGCACGGCAGACTCTGAGAATAGAGGCTGTGGATCATCTAACATCCTACATTTTTAACAAGAGTCCAGTAATTGGTAAAAAATGGCGAGGAATAAAGAGGAGTGTTTGATCTTTGTTAGGCACTTAGGAAACAACTGAAAATGATCTACTGATCAGTCTCTGAGAGTTCAGGGTATGCTAGAGCAAATATTTGGAGACAGAAAGTAGGTCTTAACCATCTGAAACTTTCTAAACATACCAGTGTGTGGGGCTCTTTATTGACTTCTCTTAAAAATGTGAATGTGTCCAGACTTCATCATGGAGTACAGACGAATAAAAGAGATCAAAATCAAACTCTGAAATGTCAGAGAGGGGCGGAATAAGCTGAAAAAAGAATCCGACAGCTCATCAGGCTGCATGGAAGGGAAATGTCATTAGGCAGTCCAGGGTGGGAAGGGGCTTTTCATGAACGACACTCTGTCCTCATGACTCAAACTCCCCACTAACATGAAACAGCCAGGATTTAATCAAAGAAGAAGAGCTCAAAAATCCCGACAGTTAGCATGGCGAAGTGTGATGTGACGGGAGCTTTCAGCAGAATAATTGATCTGTTGAATTTTTTTACTCAAAATTCATGCATAATACTCCTTAACAAGCATTCAGAATCCAAAATCACATTAGGAATAATGCAATACAAGTGATGTGCTGCATAATCAGATACTTATTTAATTATTAGTTTCCTTTAATTTCATATTATGTTCATGTTGTTGTATTTATATATGTACACTGGAAGCTTCATTATCAAGAAAAATCCCTTCCCTGGTATTAAAGCGCTTTCTGATTCTGAATTCTTTCAAGTAATATAAGAATTAAATAAAATTAAATGTATTACTTTTTACAAATACATTATGTCAAAGTTATTTTTCTGCTTTCTATCTATTTCAAATCATGGAAAATAAAAAATAAAAACAGTGTAAAATGTAAAATAAATAAATTATTTTGTTAATTTTATTATCATTATTATGTAATTAAATAATAATAATTAATAAATAATATTCCATAATAATAATATAAAATAATATGATAAATAACTGTATATTTTACATTATGTATTAATAATAATAATAAGGTATTAGCAATATGTAAATAAGAAGTAATACTTAATATATAATACTCCTTGATAATAATATAAAATAATGTATTACTGTATGTATACACACACACATATACTGTATATATATATATAGAGTTGCCTATATGTTTGTTTTAAAAAGGGGATCACTGCCCAACACTGACCTCAATTGCATTCTAAAAGCAGCCAAAACGTCCTGTGATCACTTTGAAGTTGCAATGCAGGAATGGCAAGATGGTAACAGAACTACATGTGATAATCACATAAATGGAATGCTTATGACTATTTAAAGGCTCCATAGACTCACCGCAGCGGCCTTGGTGATGCACGCGGATGTTCTTCTGAGTGGCGCAGGCTTTCATGTGGAGCTCACATTCGCTTTGGTAGTCCAGGCCGTCGCTGCCGCACACCACGTGCTTGGGGACGTTCTCACAACTCAGAGGACACATGCACTTGGCGGACAGACCGTCGGATGACTGGATGCAGGTGCTGCCAAAGCTACAGGTCACCTCACTGCATGGGTCCTTCAGGGCTGAAAAACAAGGAAAAGAGAAAGTGAGTGTAGAAAATGCCTGAATAACATTTGACAACATAATCTGAGATGAAGTGGCTCTTAGTGTGTTGCTATGTGGTTGCTTGTTTTTTAAGTTTTATAAAGTATGCTCGTACCTATTCATGCATCTAGCACACATGGTATAGGAGGAGTTACGTGCCAAAGTTTAATATTAACGTTAGCACAGATTACATAAATTACATGTATCGTCGGTCATGTTCGCATAATTGGTTGGCTGCTTGTCATGTTCACACTACAAAGTCTGTTTAAGGTGGGAGTTCATGGGTGAGCTCCAAACATGAACCCTATTACTGAGATAAGATTGGGTTAAAATGAGGCACGGTCTCCCAGCACCTTCACACGGCTCAGACGTGCCCCGTGTCGATACAGATGGCAGAGTGAAGTGGCTTAACCCGGGCTGAAGAACAGCTCAGTGCCCCAGACTTGAATATTCGGTCACAGCTGGGTGGGCGTACAAACAAGTCACTCTAATTCACCACAGACCATTTCAAGCAAGCTTTGCATTCACAAAACATTCTCAATTGCTATGCTTCAGCGTACCCGTCCTTATGCTGGAGGGACCTAATCAGCTTTTTTCACTCTGAAAATAAGAAAGTCAAATTTTTTCTGAAAAAGGCTTTGTCTATTTCTTATTAAACATTCCACCACTCAGGACTGAAGGTGAAGAAATGATTTACACAAAAATGACATTTCGGTCATCATTTATGCCATTCCAATCCTGACGCAAACAGATCGTAAATCCTGGCTGCTCCCTTTCATATAGTGAAAGTGAATTGGGGCTGTCAAGTTTCAAAATGTCAAAAAAAATATCATAAGTGGTCCATTTGACTCATGCATTATATTTTAAGTGCAAGTCTATTGAAGCCATATGATAAGTTTGTGTGAAGAATAGACTGAAATTAAAGGGTTAGTTCACCCAAAAATTAAAATTCTGTCATTAATTACTCACCCTCATGTCGTTTCAAACCCGAAAGACCTTCGTTCATCTTCGGAACACAAATTAAGATATTTTTGATGGAATCTGAGAGCTCTGACCCTGCATGGACAGCAACACAACTGAAATTTTTACGAGAATACTTTTTGTGCGCAAAATTAAAAAAAAACGACTTTATTCAACAATTCGTCTCCTCCGCATCACCCTGTAGCGCCATTTTGGAGAGTAACCGCTGGATACGCTGTTTTCGTTCAGATCAAATCACAACAACGTAGGAAACAGATCCAGCATGACGCAGCTGACACAGAACAGCATACGTTGTTTACGTATGTGATACTCTCCAAAATGGCACTACAGGGTGACGTGGAGGAGATTAATTGTTGAATAAAGTTTTTTTTTTCTTCTTTTGCGCACAAAAAGTATTCTCGTAGCTTCGTAAAATTACAGTTGAACCTCTGATGTCACATGGATTATTTTACCGATCTCCTTGCTACGTCTCTGGACTTGGGAACATTTCAGTTGTGTTGCTGTCTATGCAGGGTCAGACAGCTCTCAGAGTCCATCAAAAATATCTTAATTTGTGTTCCGAAGATGAACGAAGGTCTCACAGGTTTGAAAGGACATGAGGGTGAGTAATTAATGAAAGAATTTTCATTTTTGGGTGAACTATCTCTTTAATAAGCATGAACAAATCACACATTTGAATCAGATTTTGCCAGTGAATCAGTGTCACAGTGTCTGGTTGTGGTGCCCTGGACTGGCCACTTGAGGGCGCTCTTCCTGTTTCTGTGTTTCATGTTTTGAACGCCGTTTCCCATAGTCCTTTGCTTTGTCGTTTTGTTCTGATCGTTATCACCTGTTGGCAATTTACTCATCATTTAATCACTACTTATAAAGGACATGAGGGTGAGTAATTAATGAAAGAATTTTCATTTTTGGGTGAACTATCTCTTTAATAAGCATGAACAAATCACACATTTGAATCAGATTTTGCCAGTGAATCAGTGTCACAGTGTCTGGTTGTGGTGCCCTGGACTGGCCACTTGAGGGCGCTCTTCCTGTTTCTGTGTTTCATGTTTTGAACGCCGTTTCCCATAGTCCTTTGCTTTGTCGTTTTGTTCTGATCGTTATCACCTGTTGGCAATTTACTCATCATTTAATCACTACTTATAGCATGCTCTCACTGTCTGTATTTGCTGCAGTATTGTTTGAGTTACGTCGTGTTTTCTGTTCCCTGTGTTTTGAATTTACCTTTTGCCTAGTTTTTGTTCTGTTTTGGATTATTTGTTATTTTAATAAACTTACTGCACATGGATCTAATCTTGTTTTCTCCTGGCATTCCGTGACAGAATACTGCAGCCAGTACAAGATCCAGCAGTTTGTTTTGTTTTTGCCTTCGTTTGGACATGGACATTTGGATTACCCCTCCTGTCACAGGGAAAGAGCGAGTGGCTCGACACCGGGCTCTGATGGCTCTGATGGCTCTGAGGCAGCAGGGAATGGAGGTTGGTGGTTTTGCCCAGACTTTTTGGACATTTACGGTGGGGCTGAAGTATAATGAGGCTGCACTTAAAGACTTCCTTAATGTCTGTCTGGATGATCCTTTGCCCCAGTGGGAGCAGGAAGGACTCGAGATTCTAGACTTCTGGGGCTTCGTC